TTATTGGACAACTAAAAAATATTTTTTAAAAATTAAAAAAATAAAAGCCAGCTACAGATGTCACTTTTTTTTTTTTTAGTTGTAGATGGACAAAATAACTTTATTTCATTTATTTATTTATTTATTTTTATGTGGTGCTGAGGATTGAACCCTGTGCCTCACACAGGTTAGGTAAGTGATCTACCACTGAGCCACAACCCCAGCCCAACATCTTCTTAACCAAGTGTCACAGTTTGCATCTTGAATATCCCCCAAAGTCTTGTGATGAAAGCATGGTCTCCAATGCAGCAAGTTTCAGAGGTGGGGCTTTGAGGCTGTAAGGGATCATGATGGTTCTGACCTCACCAGTGGATTAATCCATTGGCAGCTGTGTGGATGATTGGAAAGTGGGGACTGGTTGGAGGAAGCAGATCTCTGTGGGCATGCCCTGAAATGGTTCACCTTCTCCCCAATCCCACCCTCATCTCTCTGCTTCCCAACTGCCATAAGCAGAGCTGCTTTCCTCTGACACAACCTTCCACCATGATGTTCTACCTCACATCAGACTCAGAGCAATGGAGCCATCCAACCATGGAATGAAATTCTGAGGCCCTGAGACAAAATCAATCTTTCCAGGGCTGGGGCTGGGGCTCACTGGTAGAGTGCTTGCCTAAGAAAGGTGCAAGAAAGGTTCCAGATAGAGGAGAGTGCAGGTGTTCTCTGAACTTGGCCAAAGGTGTAACGTTTTCTTCCAAGGGCTCTCCAGTGTGACAGCATATTACTCATTTGTCTATTTTCTTCTTTCCCTGCAAATTTGTGGCAGCCCCATTTCAACATTTCTCAGTATTTGTGGACTTGCAACATTTATTCTCTGTGTCTGAACTTCCTGTTGTGCTTTGCTAACTATCCACAGATTCTTAGTCCTTGCTGCAGGAGCTGTCTATGATGCCTTGTGTTAAATGTTCTGGGACTCCAGCCTACATAGTTCTCACCCTTTTCTGAGGTCCCATCCCAGAATAGGTCCTAGTGTTGTAATATTCTTTTATTTGGTTGGTTCCTGTTTTGTTTTGTTTTTTGTTTTGCATGTGTAGATGCAAAGGCCTGTAATTTTGTTTCTCTGCTTCAGTTATGAAATGCACAGTGTCCATTTAGTCTATGCCCATAAGCATTATTTTAATACAGAGGTAAAAGCTAGGGTGTGAAGCACATTATCTGGAGAATACCTGACCTGGTGCCCACACACACACTTGCACTCTCCACTACCTGGAACCTTTCTTGGGTAGGTGCAAGCATGGTTCATATGTAGAGACATGGACATTCTGGGGACTTACAATGTCACAGCAGTCCTGAACCAGAGGTGGGAGGTAAAGGGGAAAGGCTGGGCTTCCCAGTTCCCCAAGGGACAAAGGTGAAGGTACAGCAACAGTGTCTGGGGGCTCTCAGAGGAACTAAGCTCCGCTGCCCACCTTTTATTGGCA